TTTTTTTAACACTAAAATAGTAACATGAAGGCATGCCCACTTTCAGGACACAGGAGCCGTGGAAACCTGACCGCGGTGGCCCTCGTCCCCTCCTTGGGCAGTGGAGCGGTTGGAACTTGGTCAGGAGAATTGCATCTGGGAAGTGCTAAGTGACACATAGGCAGCGTCATACTCACGGACAGGTAAGCCGCCTACCTGCGTGCCGCGTGCACCTTCCCACACACACACCGCTTGTCCCTTCCGACGAGGTCACGCACGGTCACGTACCCGCGCCTGCCCTGACTCCCAGGTGAGGCTGTACTTCTCTCCTGAACCCGGGGCAGAGGGCCGGGTGACCCGGCCTGTGCCAACAGTGAGACAACCAGTTGCTGGCACTGGAACCAGGTGAATGCGAGTCCCAGGCCAGAGGTGGCCCACCTGCTCAGGTGCCCAGGCCTCTGCTTCTGGCTGGGGGACCAAAGCTCTGCCCACACCCAGTGTTCTCAGGGGACTAGAAGTCCAGGGACCTGTGGTTTAGTCCCGGCTAGGTCTGTGACCTTGAGCAAGTCACTGACCCTCCAGGCCTTGACCACGGCGCCCTGTGCCAGGGGTTCTTGAGCGCGTACTGCTCAGCGTGGCCTCAGGGGACCCACAGGCCAGCTCAGGAGTGTATCCTGGAGTAAGAGAATGCCCTCACCCCTTCTGTCCAGTGAAGGGGCCCCCAGGTGGCAGCTCCGGGACTTTCCTAGGAGAACCCTGCTGGGGTCTGGAGAGGAAGCTGCCATCTGCACTGGTCCCAGCGAGCTGTCCTGGGCTTTGGTAGCTTGGTTACCCATCTGGAACGAAACTGCCCCCCTGGCTGCCCAGCCCCGAGCCTGTGGGGAGCCTGACTCACTTCGCAGGGGGCCATTGGGGCTAATGTTTAACTGGTTCCCTCCTCATCAGGGCACTTTAGCCCCTGCAGCCCCAAGCGCTGGGCCTGCTGCGAGGCGGTCCCCAGATACAGCACACTCAGCCTCCTGCCTGTGGAGGAAGAGACCTCAGGGAGGAGGGGAGCCAGGCTGGGTCAGGCAGGGTGGTGGCAGGCGGCATTCTCCTCTGGTCGTCCCTACCAAGGAGCACCAGGCGCACCGCCTGCTGCAGAGGGGGTCTCACCAGCTATTGTGGTCAGTTTGCCACAGACACCCCCCCAAGTAGCCCCATCCCTCCACCCCGGCCCAGGCCCAACTGTGGGCAGCATTGCCACGTGGATGTTGTTTGCATCTTATTTGAATATTTCCCCTTTAGTGGGGCTATTGGAACTCCCCAGGTATATGGGTGTGAGGGACCCTGCACCCCCAGCCTAGTCCCTTTGGAAAGCGGCTAGTTGGGCTCTGCTGAGGCAAGTCCGATCCCAGAAAAGGGTAACCCCAAAGCCGGCTGACCCAGGCCCCCTTTTCCAGTCTGCCACCATCAAACCCTGTAAATAAGGACAAATTACTTAAAGTCTCCAAGCCTGCACTTCCTCACCTGTGAATCTGAGCTGATGGTATCTACTTCTTAGGTTTTTGTGGGAATGGAGTGATATAATTCTGGTAAAGCATTTAGCGTTGTTGTTATTATTATTATTATTAAAATAACGACTAAGAGTATGAACTGTAACAGGCTGCCTGGATTAAGCCCTGGCCCCTCCATGCACTGGCTGTGTGATCACGAGAAGGCGTTGACCTCTTGGTGCCTCAGTGTTCCCATCTGTAAAATGGGAATTGTGATCATGCCTTTCTCAGAGGGAGGTTGTGAAGGTCAAATGGATTAATTAAGAGCAGTGCCTGGCGTGTCACGAAGGCGTTGTCCCTCGAGGAGGCCCTGCTTCCAGCTCTGGTGTCCTGCATCCTGTGGGGCCAGCGCCCTCCATGGTGAGAGGGGACTGGAATGGAGCCGCGACTGTCTAGACACCATGCCTCCCAGCCAGGCCCTGTCCATGGCTACAGCTGAAGTCACAGCCCGTCCCCCAGCCTGCTGTCCACCCAAAGGATCCCTGTGCCAGGGCCCCCTCCCCTCGTCCACTCAGGGTGTCACAGGGTTCGCGCTCAGGGAGTGTCCCGCCTCTTGGCCCGTGCGCCATCTGTCCTCACAGGAGGTGGGCTCGTCTAGCCCTGCCTGGAAGCAGGAGGGACCAGGTGACCTCCAGGAGGCCTTGGGATGGGCTGAGGGCCCTCACCCCGGGTGCATGCTGCTGGCCCCAGAGCTCCCGCCCACGGGCTCTCTGCACCCAGTTGTTTGCTCTGAGTCAGACCCAGGGCTGGCCCCCGCCTTTGGAGGGCAGGGTGGGGACCCCTGGTTCATAGTTGAGTGGCAGCGCTGAGATTTGGCTTTGGAACCTGGGGCCCAGCTCTCTCAAGGTGCTGAGAAGAGGTAAAGCAAGGGCACCAGGCTTTGGACCCTGACCAGCCGGGGAACCCTGGGAGGCAGGGAAGGTGGGCTTCTGTGGCTGCCTGGGCACAATGCCCATCCTCATCCTCTGTGGCGCAGAGTGCCCCCCAGGTCCCCAGCTGTGTGTGCATGTGTGTGTGTGCACGCACATGTGTGTGTGCATGTGTGTGTGCATGTGAGTGTGTGCGTGTGTGCATGTGTGTGTGCACGTTTGCATGTGTGCGTGCACACATATGTGCGTGTGTGTGTGCCTGCATGTGTGTGTACATGCGTGATAGGAGCATGGAGAGGGACATTGGGAGTGTCTGTGCCTTAGGGTTCCTGAGTACAGCAGGAGTTGTGCTCTTTGCGCACATCTGTCTGCCGTTCTGCCCACCGAGCTGTTTGTAGTAGGAACCCGGAGCAGAGTGCTGCCTCCTGTAACGCATCCTACATAGCTGGTCCCTTGCTGGCTGGCGGGAGCAGCCCTGGTGCCAGACCCTGCCCCCAGGAGTAGCTGGCACTGCACTTTGCACCCGGCCTTTGGCATTCATAGCAGACAATATACTGGGAGCAGAGGGCAGGTCGGGGACACGCAGGCAGGTGACAGGGGGGACTCCTCCTCCCCTGGGTCAGTGCTCAGGCAGTCAGAAAGCCAAGGGGCCCAGGTCGGGGACCAGCCACTTCCTTTTAGCCTTAGCTCAGGAGTCACCAGGACACTGCCCTGAAAAGCCAGGCTCTGCTCTGGCCCAGAGCTGTGTTCTCTGCCCCGCTGGAGCCACTCTCCTTGGTGTGGGGGACAAGGGAGGCAGCCCCAGTGCCCCCACCCACCCCAACAGGCCGCTGCCCCTCACCGGGCTTTGGGTCCAGATGCCAGTGGGGTGGAGAAAGGACATGACCCTGGGAGGGAGGATAGACCCCTGCTGCCCGCTCTTGGGGGATGTGACGGGTCCAGCAGCGTGAGGGGGAATTACTGGGCTGAGTGTGGAGGCTGCTGGAGCCAGCAGGTGCGCAAGGGACCAGGGCGCCCCCGGGGCGAGCCGGAAGGGCGCCACCTGGTGGCCAGATGCAGAACTGCAAGGCGTTCCTCCACTGGGGCCAAGGCGCGGACCAGTCAGTCCCCTGCCCTGTGCAGGCAGGACAAGGTGGGGGGCTGACAGCACCCTGACTCTCAGCCCAGAACAGTCAGGAACATCCAGTGGCAGCAGGGAGAGAGCACCCAGGTTTGCAGAGAAGGGGAGCGTGAAATCCGGCTGGCAAGGGGCTGGGAATGAAGACGCCCCCTCTTGATGGCCGGGGCTGTTTCTGTGGTCAGGGCCTGGGCGAGCTGTGCGTCCTGGATGGTGAGGGTACGCTGTGGGAGGTCACTCGGACTGGGCACAGGGGTCTCGGGGGGCCCTGGGTGCTGCCGATTCCTCCGCCCTCATTCTCACGGAGCTCCTGACACGAGCAGCCCAGCCCTCCCTTCACAGACCCCCTTTCTCCGAGCGCTCACGGCCAGAGCTACAAAAGTGACCAGACACGGGTTTTAATGGCGGGGCCGCGACGCCTGTGGCACTCTACGTGTCATAGCAGCCGAGGAAGGATGTGGCGGGGGCTGCGGGGAGGTGCTGCAGCCATGGCGTAGCACAGGGGACTGGGGGGGGTCCACCCTGCTGGGGGGAGGTCTTCAGAACCGTGGTTCTCCTCCCTGTGTCTGTTGATCCCAGTTCTGGACGAGGGCACTCAGCCTGGAGGGAGAGGTGGGCAGGGTGGGGGTGCAGAGAGACACAGAGGAAGGAGCACGCGGGGGGGCAGGGCCAGCACAGCACGTGGCCTGTGGGGACAAAGAGGTGGCAGCCATCAGTCCCGGTGACCCCGACTTGCCCGAAGTGCATGCAGCCCCAAGGGCTTCTCAGCCAGGGGCGCCCCGGGCTGTACCATCACCCAGGGCTTCTCGGCCCAGGGCGCCAAGCTCCCTCTGACTGAGCCCCGGCACGGCTTCTCCACGGTGGGCTCTGCCCGTGCCGGCCTGACCGCCCTCCCCCATCCCATTCCAGAGGGTCTCGTGTGCCTAATTTTGTTGCTTTGTCCAGTTTCCTCAGCAATTTCCTCAGAGACCAGGAGTTCTTCTCCAAATAGCGCCCCTGGGGGCAGGGACTGGGGTGCTGGGGTGCTTAACAGGATGGGCCCGAGGAAATTAAAACAGTCTAGACTTTCAGAAGGTCAGGGCTGGAGCGTCCTCAGGGGTCATCTAACCCAGTGGAACACAAACGCTTGCATCAGAACCTGGAGGGCCGGCCCCAGGTCCCCGGGTTTCCGTTCAGTGGGCCTGGGGTAGGGCCCGTGCTGCTGGTCCCAGGACCACACTTGGAGAGCCCCTGGCCCCATATAACCTCCAATTACAGATGAGGGACTGTCTATAAATCAGGGGCCCAAGGCCCCTGTGCTCTGAGCCTGCGAGTGCTGAGCCCTATCAGCTCTCCCTTCCCTGCACCACACGGCCAGCCCTCCAGCCCTGTCCTGGGACCCCTCTCCTGTAGACTCGGTGGGCCCGAGGGTGGGGAGCTGGTCTCCAGGTACCTCTACTGTGAGGTCGGGGACTTGGCGGCATCGAACATCTTCTTCCGGCCTTCCATGCCGGACATGGCCTCCACGTTCTTCCTCCAGTCGCCCACCTCCACGGGCCGCTCCTGCGGGCGGGACACACGCACGTCAGACACTCACCGGGCCCTCGCCACGCTGAGGCTCCACAGGCAGGAGGGAGCTTGTGGGTCGGCAGCTCAGGGCAACCGTGGGGGCCACAGGACCGGCCCCCAGCCTCGCCTCCAGGCTGCGGCGCCTGCCTCCTGGTCTGACGCTCAGCAGCTCCAGGCCACCCCTTCTAACAGGCCGTCCCCCATCATCATTCCCCACTTCGTCAGCACACTGCCCGGCCCACCTCTTCTCCGTGCAAAGCGACCTGGGTCAGCGACCAGGCCTGTCCCCCATTTCCCACCCGCCGTGCCCCTCCCATTCCGGGGACAGATGCCGAGCTCCACCAAGTCTGAGTGGTTTGTTGCTGAGTGAGAGCCTGAACTCAGGCCCCTGACGTCTGTGTCCCCGTGTGCTGTGACTGGGTCTTTCCCTTCGTGACAGAGGGTGGGGTCCCCCAGCCCCCACGAGCCCCACATCCTCTTCACTGGGTGCTCTATGCTCGGTCTGGCCTGCTTTGTGTCCCAGCCTCCTCCTCAGACTGGGAGCCGCCTGAGGGGACCATGAGCATGCTGACTCCATCACTGGTCTCCCGGGGCTTCTAGAACGTTCTGACGGGAGCTCGGGGGCCTGCCCGCCACTGTGAGGGGTGACCGGGAGGCTGATGGGCAACAGGCGCCGGGGACTGGCCCTCACCTTCTCCGTGTCCTCTTTCTTCACAGACTTGAGGTTGGCCCTCAGGTCCATGGACACCTTGTGCTTGGAGCCCAGCAGCGCCCGCAGCATGGCGTCGGCCGAGACACGCACACGGCGCAGGGCCGGGCGCTTGAACTTCCCACGCAGGTCCAGCACCTTCAGCTTCAGGTCCTTAATCTGCAGGGGTCCGGACGGGGCCGAGGCTCACTGGGGGGTGCAGACGGCTGTTTCCACCCGGGGCTGAGCCCCTTCCCCAGGCTGCAGGCCAGGCGG